GTATGTAAATAGAATAACAAGTGAATAATTTACCTGTTTCGTACTGACAATAACATCGTTCTCAATCCGTTCTATACCCTCTCGTACCTGCTCCCGTAATTCGTTCCTCATTTCTGTGTTCGCATTGTAACTATCCGCCGTTTGATCGTTGAACTCATTACAAAGTTCGTGAAGACGATCACACTTTTCACGTACGTTGGTACAGTGCTTCTCCTCGCTTCTTTTCAAATCATTCAGCTGAGAATAGGCGTTTTCCATCATCTGAAAACAAATGTACAATTCTGACTCTAGATTTCGCATACGATGAAATATTTTAACTGTTGCGAGTGTTCGTGTATTTTAAATATGCTTTAGTAAGGGTAAAGATGAAAATCTATTAGCTGTTGAAACCCGAAAGGGAACTGCAAAGACGATACTAACTAACTAGTTTTTACATACGAAATTACTTTTAAATGGTTCATTAAATTTCTAATGCCGTATACGCCTGACCCTCCTTTTATACGGTAAAAGCGAATCGAATAAACGAACATCGAGTAAAAAAAATAAGTAATACAAATACTGATTACAGAATCGTGTTAATAGAGACCGCGTAATTTTTATTTATCATCGTAAATTTAACTTAGATTCGTGTAAAAAAATACCATGTAAAAAGAATGTCAGGCGTATTGTTTCTTGTACCTCCGAGAACAATTGTTGCTTCTCAGTCGATTTCTGCATTTCACGAATAATCTTCACGTTTTCTTGAACGTTCAGAACATTTTCGCACGTTTCATTATAAATTTTAAGCTGCTGCTCGCATGAAGAATCTATGAGCTTGTTAATTGTTTCGGAGGTTTCTTTCAATTTTTCAAACACTGAGTTTCTCATAGCCATCAAGTTTGTTAAGATATCGTTGTTAATCATATCTTCGACACTTGCGGCTAATTCCAGAAACTTCTTACTTATTAATTTGTTTTGAGATTCCATCGTTGTCACTTGGTTCGTTGCTATGATTTGTGCTTCATTTTGAAGGTGCGAGTACTGAAATAAGTAAGAAATAATTGAAATCCACGGACATTGTCTCTTAAATTACGTTTTTAAATCAGGGTTGTAGATTTTTTATTCGTCTAATTGATAATTAACGATTAAATTTGGGATGAGACGACTGAGAGAAAGAAAATAATGGAAATTAATAGAAGAGCTTCTCTTTCTCTATCGGTTTGTGAGAGAGAAAGACAAAAATTCATCCAAAGTTCGTTTTCATCGATCAACGACGACTTTCGCAGACAAATGTTATAAATCATGTTCTTTAATTCTTTCATTCGAGACTTCAACGAATAGCAATTTATTTTAATTTTCTCTTATACGTTATGTAGTACACTAAGTCCTTTAATATCCCACAGAAATTTAAGTTCCTCTGTACGATATTACAAAAGTTATCCGTTTTTAAATGTATCCGAATATTGATGAGTCACTATGTATCTTATGTATAACGGAAAGTGAGAAATATTATGTGGTTCGCTATTGTAAAGAAACGTTTGAATTATACGTACGGATTCGTTTATGTTGCTCACTAGATTATTGGTTTCAGGCAAGTGTTCTTCGGATAATACCGTGGATAATTGATTACCTATTCGTTGCATGTTCTCATAGATAAAAAACGTTTCCATATCTAATGAAAACAGCAACAGAAATGGAAATAATTAAAATAAATATGCAAGCACTAAATAAAAGATTTCAAATAATACGGTTCAACATTAAATAACAGAATCTACTTTTGAGTTCATTTTCACATTCTCTCTTACTAAAGAAAACTAAAGAAAAACGGTTGTTTCATTACCGAGTTCACTCGTCATTGATGTAAAAGACTCCTTCAACTCTTCCGTATATGCTAATACATCACTTTGAATTCCTCGCAGATATTCGCAAACGTTATTTCGGAATCTTTCGCCTTGGGCCTCGAGCGCTCGTTCCGTTTCGCTAGAAGCAAAAATAATGGTACAATTCATTTTACTTTGTAGAACTAACTATATAGCCTGCATTAGAACGGTTCACGAATTTCGATAAATACAAGTAATATAATCACTTTTTGGGAGGGTATAAAGATGAGAGGTAGAGAATAGAGGTGTCGAAATATTTCAATCTTCGGGTAGTTCGATGATCAAACCGAATCGAGACTCGGTTTCTGATCCGGTCCGAAAACTCGAGAGAACCGAATGGCACGAAAGAATCGAGTATACATATAGAACTTTCGTAGAATTTTATGAACATGTATTCGAATGATATTCATTTTCCTATAATTTATCATACCTTCTTCTTATTCTTTTATTACTTATGAAAGAACCTAATCAACCCGGATACACCGGGCATTTTCATGAAATTTGCATGTGAATTGAATCTCAAAAAGTATTTGACACTTATTATAGACAGTCGTTCATGTCGAAAGGTTGATAGTTCAACTACTTTGTTGTACATATAACATTCAATACCCGCCGAGATTTTCTTTACATACTTTCTTCATTAATACTTTAACACACATTTTTCATACTTCAACCGATGGCCGTTTGACGTAATTTTGAGTATTTTTTTTACTATATTCTTATCTTTTACATTTATGTAATATCTTATACTGAGTATTTCTGTATTATGTTTTTTCTACTAATATTAGGTGGCTAAATTAAATTGTGAGAAACATAAAAATATACACACTACGTTTTGCTCTCTTTTGCATTTTCATATGCTACTTCATACAAATTTTCCATCACACGTCTCATTTATTACTAGGATACGCATCGACATTAGATACATGTTTTTAATAATTGCAAGAAATGTGAAAAAGACATTTTTCAAATTAATTATTTAATTCAGTAGTTAAAAAACAGCACATGATCAAATATTAATGATTGCTATGTAGTACGTATTCAGAAAGTAGTATATTTAATATACATTTCTAATGTGGATATGCACGAAGCATAGAATGCACGATCTATTTATTTGGATTTTTCGATTAAAAATATTCGTCTACTGTAAGCTATTACTCTGCATTTGAATTAATCAGTGGGGTCATTGTAGTGCTCTGTTTAATTTGAGCAGCTTACCTTTTACAAACTACCCGATTCCGTTCGAACTGCCCGATTTATTCGAGCTACTTGGTTTACTCGAACTGTTCGGTTTATTCGAATTATTTGATTCTTTCGAGCCTCTCGGATCTATTGAATACCCGACACAGTATGTTTATTTGAACCAAGTAATACTCGACTAGATTTTCTGAGTATTTTCACACCTCTGGCGAAAAGACGAAATACAGGAAACTGTGAATAAATAATAGTATAATCACTTTTTCCGAGCAATTTTATCGTGCAATTTGTAGGAGTCCTCCGTCGCTGTGTTCGCGACATTTAACAAAGTTTGCCCATGATTCAACAAAGACCGCTCCGTGTTCACGTATTTCTCCACGAGATACTTCTGCTCGTCGCGTTCCTGCGCACTCAACTTCAACCGCTGGTTCGTTGTGTCTAAGGCAGCCGAGGCGTTATTCAATTTCATCTTGACCTCGTGCAATTTTTTCGTCTGCTCCATATTTTGCAATTCCAGCTGTTTGAATAGTCTCTGCGAAAAATGTAATCGGTAAATGAAAATAGATATACATCAGTGGCTCGGTATTAAAAGTGTCCTACTAGATGAAGACCATGCTTTTCGCGCAATTTTGCATATGTTTAAATGATTGTATAATTTCGTTACTCTTGTATGTATTAATGATGAAATGTTTCATTATGTCGTTTTGGTTCTTTTTTCTTTTTTCTTATAGAACGTTTTACTTTATTTTACAGTTTTTACGTATCAAAATAATTTTGTATACTTT